CGGAGAGCCTTTTCAGGAAGGGGAGAAGTAAGTTAGCCCATAACCCACCAAATGCTGCAATGCTGCTCCTTGCCTCTGCTCTGGAACAGTTAGGCAGAGAGCGCTGGCGAGCAGGAGAAAGTGCCCAATCTGATTTGGTTGCCACCAGGTGGGTGAGGCTTGGGCAGGTCCCCAACACCTGCATTTGGGGATATGAGGACGCAATTTGCTAGAGCAGGGAGAGGCAACCTGGCATCCTCCACACACCTGGGGCTTTAGGTCCCATGGAGCTAATGGAAAGACGTTACAGGAGCTCTAGCCCAGAAAGTCCTGAGCTACTTATCTCTGAGTTAAGAAAGCCTGCATGAGCAACGGGGTTCCTTCTGCTTAAGTGTGGGGGTTGCCCAGCATTTGTTCGGCAGTGCAGTAGCTAATAAGGATCACCCAGTCTGATCTCTGGTAGGCTGGTGGCTGGCACAGGCCTGCTTCCAGACAAAGACTTGATAGGATGATCCTCCAGTCTTGCCTCTTTGGTCTGCTAGTTTAGGAAGTGAAAATTAGAGCATAGCTCATAAGGAAATACCCAACAAGCTGAATGACACAGTACTGATGGCCCCAAACCCATTCTGAGAAATGAGGGGGCACTTGTGCTATTGCACAGAACAAGCCAGCATCTCCTGAGTGCAAGGCCACCAAGGGGAGGGGGCAGAGGAAGAAGAAAAGGACAGCAAATGCTTCAAGTAACTCTGAACAAGCCAGTGAGTGCAAGAGTCCTCGCAACTCTTGAGAGGAACATCCCAGTAGGTCTGCAGGAATGGTGAGAGGAGGCGGAGACAGCTCCTTTCACTGAACTGAGACTGGACCAAATCTGCTTCATCTCTTCAGCTTCTCCTGCTGAAGCTGCATGGTATCTGATGCAGGCCCAGGAGCACAGCCGCATCTTCAGTACTCTAAGAAAGAACCAACATGGGGAGCCCTGAGAGAAGGGGCCATAAAGAGTCAGCAGCAGCCATGACGGTGCTGGATTCTACTAAGCTGGCACAGCTTCCCCAGCAGGTTGCCAGCCACGCGGCTTGGTGGGGTCTGCAGAGGCAGCTTTGTGCGTGGGATGACCCATGCCAGGACCTCTGTCTTCCATGCCTATTAAAGGACCTCTACAATTTATAACTGACACTTCAAGCAGAACCAAGAAGTTTAGAAAGGACCCCTTCCAAAGAACAATTGTCTGAAACTTGTAGAGAAACTATGTAAAGACCAAGTAAGTCTTCCTGAGCACTAGTGCCTCACATGTCATTTAGATCAACCTATAGGCTATGGAGATGCAGGATCTTTATGCTCCCCAACTCATATTCCAGCACCAGGAAAAATGAGATTCTAAAAAGAAATCAGCAGCTGACTTTGGTTTCCTTTTGCCAGCAGGGAAGAGACACAGGTGGGTGTTCTATAAGCTACTGGATCCCCTCCCTCACATGGCTCAAATTACTGGGCATTTTGCCCTGATTTCCTTTGCTTTCTAAATATTGACAAGGGAGAGAATGCTGGTGAAATTTACAACCTGCTTGCAACCATCAAGGCTCTGAACACTTGGCCAAGTATTCTGAAACCCAGATTCTTAACCACCTCTTGCATCTGGCTCCCAATTTCTTTTAACTAGAGGGAAACCACAAGGATACAGACTGGGCACAATGCCATTCTTGCTACGGTAACATCAAGTAACTCAGCAAAGTGGTCAGCAAAAATCCAGATTGGCAAGGTTCCTAAAGGTGGCCACAGGAATGATGACTCAAGGAACTCAACTCTGCAGTGGTCATCATAAACTATCTTCCACAGTGGAAGGAGGAAAGTCATCCATGGGAGAAGGCTCTTCCTGTCTTGGTGATCAAACAGCTGCCTAGGCCAAACTGCCAAACTGCCAGCAGCTGCCAGACAGGTCTCGTAGGCTGCTTAGAAGGTGACAAACTAACCTTCCAGGAATCTGCAAAGTCACCACAGTTCCCCTGACTGTGCTCCCTGAAATGAGCCACTCTATGTACTAAGTGCTGGCAATCCAACAAGCTTTGGATTGCTACATCCTCTGACCTCCAAGCTTTCCTTTGCAGTCCTTAGATCTGTGGGTGAGGGAAATATTAATGAGGGTGAGCAAACAGATACAATCCAGACAAGACAGAGGAACAAAGGACTGGTGATTCATCCACCATGTTCTAGCTGGGACTGTGCTCTCCCCTCTAAACCAGGGGTGGGGTATTGCAACCCCCAACATCCCTCACGATGGGCCAAGCTGTCAGAGATATGGTTATTCATCAGTATGATCTTTGTGTCTTTTGAACACCTGTGCAAAAAATAAATAAAATTAGCATGGGCTTCAAGCCCGCCACAGGAAACCAGCCACAGTAGTTAGTCTGGGTCACGGCCACTCTCCCGATAGGATAAACAGAAACTCCCTCATGGCTTTCTCCATCACCAGCTGGGCGAGGCTAACCTAGAAGGCAACTTCCAGCCCGCAGTTCCATCTCCCCCCCTACGCACATGGACTGAATTAGATAAAGAGTGGGCAGCCGCAGACGTTGGCTCCCAACTGCATCTTCCACCTTCTCTGAGGCATTTGGCTCAGTCAGGGAAGGACTGGACTCTGCTAGCTGAGATAGCTGGTTTTGTGGGATGCAGCATTTGGGGAAAGGGCCCTAACTCCCCCCGCCCTTTCAAGACCAATGGGTTTTGCTGGAGTCATTTGAGAATCTTTTTTATGGAATAAAAATAAAGATTCCCTTCAGCTGAGCTTGACTTCTAGTGTCTACGAGGACGTGTCTTAGGAGAACCGTCACTGACATTTTTTTTGTCTTCAAAATGAATTAACGGCAAAGGGCGGAAACCTTCTGAGAAAGACTGGACCCTTTTGCATTCAAAAGGAAAGCAGAACTATGACTGAAAGGAAATTGGATCAAAAGCCTCTTTTGCTGTGGTGGAACAGGCCAAGTAAAGACCACCATGGGAGAAAAAACCCAAGAACTTAAAGCATTACTTTACTTCCTTCCTGGTTGGGGAAATGAGGAAAACTGGTGCAAACTGATATGGATTTGTCATGAGAGGCAAGAAATAAGTTGGGTGCTAGGGATCTTGGTACCAGGGCTTGTAATTAGCAAGATGTAAAGGTAAACATGGGGGAAATAAGATAATCAGACCACAGATGAGGTAAGAGGCTTCCTAGTAAACATAGTGGAGCTTGCAAGGAAATCAGAATTGGGGTCCTTCCAAGGGGAGGAGGGAGGCCACTCCTGGAATGGTAAGAAGACACTAAATTGAGGGTTTGGAAAAGGTTCAAAGGATATGGAGTTGGGGGGAGGGCAGTGTCCACCTTTGAAGGAAACCAATCTAGCATCTCAGCTGGAGAGAGGCCACGAGAGCAAGGCACACCCCGGCTGCGATGGCTGGGGGGAACAACTGTGTCTGAAGAGTGGCCGACTTGGACTGGGGCCAGGAAGCAGGGGGCAGCAAGGGGAATCACACAGAGCCAAGAGGAGGAGTGCGGAAACTGTTCCTGAGACCTTTGTGAGGCAACTGAGGACGCTCGGTTGTGGGGATTTATTTATGATTTTAAAAGCATTGGATTTCAAAAAGAGTCTGCCTGTCTGAAGGGAAGCAGAGAGAGCCTGCATTCCTCTCAGGAATATGTGTGTGGGGGGCATTCACTCCCACCGAGCTGTATGGCTCTTATTATGTAATGCTATTCTTGTATTATTTTTATCTGTTCATCTGATTGTAGATCTGCATGGTTGTTTAATGCAAGAGTAAAGTTGAGCGGTTCTGAATTCAGGTAACAAAGTAAAGCTGTGCTGTCTGTGGACATATTGGATGGACTCTCTCGCGCGCGCGCGTGTGTGTGTGTGTTTAGCCTGCTGCTGCTAGGAAGGTTTTGTATTATTTAATGAGAATAAATTCTACAGCACCTGGAAGAGATCTTGCAAATCTTGGGGGGGATTCAGCTTATGAATCAGGAGCAGTTCCAATGTTACAGGTGGGCTTACACAAGCTCTATTTACAGTAGAAGCAAAGTGAAATAATTCTTGTGCCTTTCCGTCCCACAAGTGCAGGACAACAGGCTGTGGCTCCCACACTTTCGGGCAGGAGAACCACGAGTGCAGAACCCTCTGCCTCAGTCTGTTTGCCTCTGGCCTTGCCATAATTAGCCCCAGCCCATCCCAGAGCCGGAAGAGGCTGTGTAGGCCGCTGAGACCAGCTCCCTGCTCCAGGCACTAATCCAAAGTAATGCATCCCAGAGTGATGGCTAGCCTCTGGTTGAACACATGCAGAAAAGGGAGCCCACCACCTCCCAGAGTCACTCTTCCACTATCAGCCTTTGGCTGGGTGGAAATTATTTTCTAACATTTCAGTCGGAATCCATCTTCCTGTAATTTCCATTATTCCACTCCACTAAGAGTGGAGAAACCTTGACCTTCTTCTCTGGGGCATCCTGTCAGGCGCATGAAGAAGCCTCTCCTCCTTCTCCACCCTCCATCACCTTTTCCCAATCTCTCTTCCAGCTGTTAGTCCCTTGTTCATCCTAGTTGGATGATACAGAATATTAATAAGTACTTAATTTGATCTTGGTCCTGTACGTATTTGTACACTGATTTATGTTAAACCCTCTCCCTTTTTAGAGAATGGCGCTTGACGTGCCCTTTAAATGCTGTTGCGGTTTCAGACCCATGAAAATCGCACTGTTTGTCCTCCAACTTTATTTATTATTCCTGCACTTGATTTCTCACGGTATGCCATCTTGTATCATGGAAACAAAGATGGCAAGAAAACCAACAAGCTTGGTCAGAGAAATAAAAACAAAACAAGTAAACCAGTACATGGCTAAGACATTGTTCATGCCATTCAGTATTTCAACTCTTTTGGCGCTGATGGCTATGCTCGCACCTGCCAGTAGAGGGCGCTAGAACACAGGAGAAGGGAGACTACCCAACACTGGCCTTGAAACCCAGAGAGCCCCACACCCTCCCCACACTGTGCATACATACTGCTTCATCGCTATCAACTTGGAGTCCATGCTCTCTTGCTTGCCCTTCATCATTTGGACATCGGTCAGCAATTTGGTCATGCTGTCCTGGCGAACCTTAATATCTTCACTCTTTATGCTGGATACCTGAAAGGAGGAGGAGAGGTGTCACTTGCTGGGACCACAACTCGGAAATGAGAAAACTGCTGGCTGGCCATCTAGGGCAGAGGGTGCGCGCCCTATTCTCAGAAAGAACTGGAGTCAGAGCCTAGCCGAGCTGAAAACAAATGCAATGCAGGGGGCATTTTTTTGGTCAACTCAATCCCAAAGGAGGACCACCTTACCCCACCAGCGCAGCACACAGGCCCTTCTGCTACACTTCAAACATGCTCTGATCTGCTTTGGCTGCCCAGTTTGCGCAGCTGCTCTGCTATTCAGCCTCGGCTTCTAAATGCACGGCAGTGACACAATGGTTGAATGGCTTTCTGGAAAAAGCTACAATATTGTACATCTGTCCACAAACAGTAGAAAGTTAAAGGATTTTGAATCTGGTTCTGATTTTAAAAAGCTTATTTTGTGGTAAACATTTTAAAGAATGCGTGTAAGGCTACAGGAGAGATTTGAATTATCTGAATAAAGCTTAAAGAGATCTCAAAAACACAAGTGTCTTAACGCATGGTGTCTGTGTGGTGGGGGAAGTGAGTAAGAGCTCTATAAGCTCTTGACCTTCTCCCTAATTAAGGGAAAAAGCAGCCTAATTGTTTGCACCCTCCTCTGCTTTCAGTTAATAGTTCTGAGAAACTATGTCCTGCGAACAGCTATACAACCGTCTAAACTCAAAGAGGTCACGAGAAGCAGCCCATCCTAAGAATGTCCTCAGCTGCCCCAGAGACTAGATTCAATCCACTGCCAAGCTCAACTCAGCTCTCTCCTAGCAGAAATGCCAGAGCAAGAGCGGATGCTAAGCCCTCAGCATCCTTCTCCAGCCATTCACAGCAGGGAAGCAGACAGTGGAGCAAGTCCCCTTCCATTGGCATCCAAAAAGGCCACCTAGCTGCTAATCCGAGCTACTCAAGATGGCAACTGGAGGAGCTCTACTAAGCCAGAAACCAAGGGTCCCAAAAAGAAAGAAGAAAGGAAGCCCCCTTCTCTGTCTTCCAAGCACCCAGACAAGGCACGTTTCCTCCCCTCCCAGTTAAGGCTCCTTTGAAGCTGAGCCAGCAGCTGTCGCGGCAGACTTACGTTAGTGACTTTCCTCTTGATGTTCTCCAGGAGGTGTTCCTGGCCACGGAGGAAGTAGGGGTGCTGGAATTCAGTATCATCCTTCTCGGGCTTTACCAGGCCACCCTGCTCGATGTGAATCACCTTTCGAAAACCATCTGAAACACAAGGAGGCAAAGCTTGCTGGCAACAGGACCGGGGAAGATATGAGAAGCTAACCCACCTGTCAGGTACAGCATCAACTGCCCCTCCGCTTCCAGGACATGCACATACTAGTAATGCTGTCATTTTTATGAGCCAGCGTTCCAGAATGCCGAGTAACTCATCTTTAAAACGATTTCAGTCCACAAATACAAAGGAGGCCTTTCAGAGAGGCATAAAAAGGGTTGATGATCAGAGCAGGACTCACCCAGAACTGTCTCCCGGAGGCATCAGGTGGACCAGATTTGAAGCAGCACCTACGGGTGACCCATTTGCCCTTAGTGTTTGGTAGTCCAAAGATGTGGCGCTCTTAGCTGCAGCATTCATCTTTGGTACCAATTCAGAAATCTATCCTCAAGAAAGCCCCTCCTCTTTCTAAAAGTACCTTGCCAGCTGAGATGTCTATGAGGCCACCAGGCACAGGCATTCAGCCTTTTCTTCGGCCAATGGCAAGCTGCCCAGCAAAAGCCAAGGCTCAAAGTGCCTATGCCACTATCTATTAACATAAACAGCAGCAGAGAAAAAAGGCGAGTCATCAAGGCTCAACTGTCAAGTCGCACATGCGTGGGGGAGCTATTTTTATGGACAGGATGTCTATGCTGTCTTTCAGTCATGCTACAGTCCCCAAGGCGGCTGCCATTACAAAAGATGCATGCAAACCAAGCAGCAAATTTGGGGGACAATATTTTAAAAATGGACAGGCTCTCTCTTTCCATCAATATAGCTAAAGAATTGGATAGTGGTTAGGGAACTGAAATTGTTAAAGGTTATCTATGTATTTCTTTCATGCTATAGGCAACATCTGATAGTGTGGTGTCTAGGTGGTACTCATGGGCTTCCAAATTCTGGTTATTTTTAACCTTAAATATAACAAATAATAAAAATTAATTATTTTAGGTATCCAGGACATTTAGTGTCCATTGCCTCAAAAAGATGCTCGGTCCTGTTATGGAGAAACTGAGGGTAGGAAGTAAGATTAAAACTTACTTCAAAACACAGGACAGCTAAATTATAAACCACTTAGATGTTTATTTTACATTTCATGTTTCAAGGGCATTTTGTGAAGAGCAGAGACCAACTTGATCTTGCCAGAAGCGCCACAGATCAGAAGATGACACTGATGTACGCCCTGGTCCTTGCCTTAACTAAACCCAAAGAGGCGGCCAGAGGCCTCCCCAGAGCAGCGCTGAGCACCCTCCCTCTCTGCGCCACCAGAACCCGCCAGCTCAGCCTCGTTCCACCACAAGCGGCCCTGAAGAGCGGCATCTCGGGGCCACCTGGCAGACCCCCAAGCTGCGAGCATACTTACACATGTTCAACTGCCGCACAAAGCTGGCCATGTTGTTGTGTTTGAAATATTTGGGAAGGACCTCCTTGGCAAACTGGCCTTGGTCGAAAACATGGAAGCTATTTCCACTCTGCAACAACAGAAAAAGGATGAGTCCGTCGGCTGGCTGAAGCCTAGCTGGGTTAGTCGTAAAACAGAAAACCTTCAGGGGGAGATGCAAATTGCAGCCCTTTCAGCTCAGAAAGACGCAGCTACAAGGAGTTGGAAAAGGCAGAAGGCAGGTTCAGGCAACCAGGAGGTGCATGGAAAATATTTAAAAACATGTCTTTTATCAGGGGAAAGTACTCACATTAGGTAAACCTGGGGTCCCCCAAGGTGCCCCAGGCAAAATAATTTAAAGAAAAATTAACTTAAAACAGACTTAAATGAGAAGTTGTCATGCTGCAGCATTAAATGGCAGCAGCATCTTTCTTTCAAGAATGCCACATGCCCCCCAGCCCTGTGGCATTCCTGGAAAGTGAAAATAGCAGATGGCCGCACCCAATGCTTGTCTGGTGGGGTGGGGGGGGAATGAACGTTTTTCATCTGGAGGGAGCCCATAATGCCTGCTGAGCAACACAGTAGGCGGTCAGCACAGGGAGTGAAAATCTCACCCAGGCCCAAATGTGTTGCACAGCTGCCCCCTAACCCTGACACGCATTTCTCCATTTGTGTCTCAACCTGCCAGAGAGTGTCCAGAAAGGCTTTTGGAACCAAAAGGAGATCATGGAATCCTTGATTCCAGGAACTAATCAAGTGTATGATTCTAAAGCATCCTGAATTTTCTCAATGGATCTCTAAGGAAAAGCAGCACTAGATGGTAGCCGCTGAACTTCACTGCACTGTGAGCTCGGCACCCCTCAGTGCCATGGTCCCTACAAAGCACCCACAGCCGGCAAAACAATACCCAGGACAGCCTTACCTCTTGTAGAATCACAGGGCTGGAAAGGACCTTAGAGGCTTTCTAGTCCAGACCCTGCCCAAGGCAGGAATTCTCAGATCATCCCAAACAAACG